AGCGTGTTAAGCTCCAGGTTGTTAAGACTGCACCAGACAGCCAGCTCTTTAACCTCCTGTCTGTAAGCAGACTCGTCTCTGTCTTTGATGAGGCCGATGACTGTAGTGTCGTCTGCGAACTACAGGAGCTTGACAGAGGGGTCTTTAGAGGTGCAGTCGTTGGTGTAGAGGGAGAAGAGCAGTGGGGAGAGCACACATCCCTGAGGGACACCAGTGCTAATTGTGAGAGTCCTGGATGTAAGTTTACCCATTGAAAAACTGGTGCTGGCCCACCTGAAGGACATCACTGGACCCTTGCTGGATCCTCTTCAGTTTGCCTACAGAGCAAACAGGTCTGTGGATGATGCAGTCCCATGTTGACTGCATCATCCACAGACCTGTTTGCTCTGTAGGCAAACTGAAGAGGATCCAGCAAGGGTCCAGTGATGTCCTTCAGGTAGGCCAGGACCAGTCTCTCAAGTGACTTCATGACCACAGACGTGAGAGCGACACTGTCTGTAGTCGTTAAGTCCAGTGATTTTGGGCTTTTTGGGGACCGGAATGATGGAGTATGTGAAGCAGCAGGGAACTTCACACAGCTCCAGAGATCTGTTGAAGATCTGTGTGAAGATGGGGGCCAGATGGTCAGCACAGACTTGGTTACTATAGCGAAATAAACACTCATCAGAATTCAACGAGAAGGAGAAAACACTTCCCATATCTTCTATTGTTGATGTCAGAGCTTGTGTGAATTAAACTAAACTGTTGTAGCACTGTGTCGCTCCCTTGATGTCCAGTGTTCAATTTATGTCCTGTAGTAAAACCCATTGAGGAGCTCTACAAGCTTCACATGGCATGTCATGAGAGAGACGTGAGAGAGGGTTTCTGAGGGTCTTAACAATCCTGATTCACCCTTCCACAAGTGAAGGTCTTAAATCAGAGCAGAAAGTCTTCAATTCATAAAGTCATGGCATTAAATGCTGGGAACAGAGATATTCAAGCCTTAAGCTTGCTAGCTTATTTGTTTGTTTGTTTGTAAAATGAATGTAAAAGTAATACAGAGCTGCTGGAAGTTGTATTTTCAAACTCTGAAGTGTTGCTAATGCAAGACATTTACATTTAGAGACCATCATAATGTATTTTGTTCCATTTGATTTATTCCTTAGATTTTCTTTACTTGGTCTTAAAAAGGTTAAATTTATGTTCATCAGACGTGCAGAATCCCTGGTGCTCCTGGTGATAGCATGCATTTTAAGATGCAGCGATTGTTTCTGTGCTCATGCATCTACCGATAATGAAATCACGCAGCACCTGCATCAATAAACAATCACACCCTGAATGTTTCAGATCTGCTCAAATGTGCCTGTATCTCAGCGTATTTAATTCTAGTTTCGACATTATTTGTTCTTCAGGTAGTGAGCCACATTTTAGTTTTTGACCACTGAAAATGTGAACAATTTACCAATTTACTCATGGAGCAGCATTAAGATCTCCATATGTCTGGGATTGAACCATCGAGGGCCTTTAAAATGAAGATACCAGAAGAAAAGTTTGTTAAGAACCAGAATCTAAAGGGATATTAAGATATCTTTAATACTTCTTGAGTTACAGGCATGTAAACCTGAAGCAAAAAAAAAGTGCTTTTTACCATTTTTGAACTGTCACCGTTGGCACATAATGAAACAAAGATTGCTAAAGTCAACAGATTTTACTAAAAGACCTACAGAACCAATCTCTGTGTAAAAATAATATCATGATGCTGCCCACTTTCTAAAGTCGTTTCAGGTGAAAATTGTCATTTTGACCCCCTCTACAAAATAATGGATTATTTCGGCTTTCATCACTATTTATGTTTGTCTTTCTACAGAAAAAAATTTGAACAAAATCAAAAATTTGAGCTGGGTAAGTTTCTGAAATTTGGTAGATTTGACACGGAATGACCCTATTATAATTTTGAGCAAAATAGTTGTGATTATCAGTTTAACCATCATGCAGCATGACTCAAATGTGACTACGTTTACACTGACTAAAAGTAGACTGACCTTTCCAGACGTGGAACAGCTCCAGCTTTAAGCCGGTAATGAGGCTCCACAGACGTGTCTGTAGCTCAGCGGCGTTGCTGAAGGGCCGGTGATGCTGCTGCTGTTCTCTAATGATGCTCTCTTCTCTGAGCTCCTGGATGGCTCCTGACTCCCGGCAGAGACCCGGCGTCTCTGCATCTGTCTGAAGGATCCAGACGGGGCTCATCGACAGTGCTGATGAAAGACGAGACGTGCTGGAGGCTCAGAGCTCCCGTCTCGGTGGAGCTCGTTCAGCAAACCAACAGCAGAAAGATTTTCCATCTAGCCCACCGTCCTCCTGCCAGACGCTCACTGATCAGCTCCGAAGCGCTTAGACAAAAGTCTCTTTACCTCTGAGCCAAACTTCTGTGGGAAAACAGCACACTTGCAGCTAAAGCGAGGCTTTGACTGGTGCTGTTTCTGCGTTTGCTGTAGTCTGGCCCAGTGAGGAGTGTCAGCGGTGAACCCCGTTCATTCTGCTCCAGTCTCTCTGAGAGTGTGATGTGTGTGTCTGACTGAGACGCAAGAGACACATTTTAGTTGAGTCTGAGGATTTTAAGTCTAGTACGGTGGAGATCATGTTTGGATTTCTCACAGTTTGTCAGTAAGAAGCAGCTTTATTCGCAGCAAACAGCGCAATCTGACACTTTCATTTGATCAGAATATCTGAGATATATAGAATAACAGAGATCACTGTGGATGTTTTCAAATCATCAAATCATTTCAAATAATTTTTCCACAGTGTAAGTGAGAGAGTATGCCAATGGTTGCCAACTAAAATACTGGGCAGAAAATATGTCTGTTTATAATAGAGAATATCTGATTAGGGTATCTGGCAACCGCAAGCATGAAAACGAATAATTTCACAGTTAGTGTTTAATGATGTGAGTGTCATCTCGTCTTTGTCATTGTCATTATTCTCATTGTATTCACAAATGAAAGTATTCTGGAGAATGATGGGTCTGCAGTCAGTGTTCAGATGTGCTGATATCTGTGTGTTTGTAACGCTCCTGATGTTTATGAGCCTCTCTCTCTGTCCCACAGCTGTCTGAACGCTTGCACGTACTGCAAAACCAAACATGCCAGAGGAGATCTGGCCAGTTACCCCATCGAGGAGCTGGTGGAGAGAGCCAGACAGTCCTTCCAGGGTGAGTCTGACCTCTGACCCCTGACCTCTGACCCCGACCAGCAGCCGTCAGTGTCTGATGATCGATCCAAGAGTGACTCACGGCATACGACCACCTGTTTAACATTTACTCTAGTACTAAATGAAACACAAAAGTTTGAGTAAGAGTGTTCAGTTTTACCAGTGCTCTTATGACGGTAACTGGAGTACTGGAGTCAGTGTCAGGGATCAGGGTAAAATCTCTTTTTATTTTCCAGTCAGCCCACGATTCCTCTCAGCCATTTGTGTGTCATGCTGTTTTATTTGTGCAAACTCCTGTAATGATGGGAATTGTTTGGGTGATTCTGCAGGCAGTTTATCGCTAAGCCACATGGTGAATAATTGTAAAGCACTAGTTATTTGGACACAAAGTTTCCTCGTGAGATGAATTTGGTGGGCGTTGTGTGTATGACAGCGGTGAAATGACGCATCAACGTAATTAATGTCTTTGATTATGTAGAGATATAGTTTTGTTTGGAATGCATTGCTGCTTGTGTTCATCTCTGATCTCCTGTCATGTTTCACACAGAACACTTCCTAGAGCAGATCACTGGCTAGTATGACAACGCTGCTTAAACTGTTGCGTTCATGCAGCAGTTTGTTTTTATGATCATGATGAACGCTTTCCAGAGCCGAACTGAACGGACACCTGCATCTTTCAGCAGTCTGCAGTGGTCAGCTAGTTATGTAAGGTGTGAGCGAACGGGACACCGGCGTGTGTGATGCTGTCATTGCTCTGAGCTGAGTGAGATTACGGTTCAGCTGATACAGATGTGTGTGTTCAAGCAGAGGAATGAACAAAACACCTGAGGAAAAGCTGTCAGTCGCAAACACTGACACTGACAATCGCAGCCATCATGGCCATTTGTATTACTGATAGATGCCTTTTAATTCTTGACACTTCATTTTATTTTATCATTTATTTATTTATTTTTTGGTAAAGTAAATATTTTGAGAAAATGTTTGAACAAAGCAAAATTGCAAATGTTATGGTTAATATTTGTTGCTAAGTTAAAGGATTAATTGACTAATCAGAAAATAATTGATGGCTTAAAGTTAATGGGTATATTAGTCGATTAGCCGGATGCGTCAGCAGCATCTCATGTCAGGAGGCCGTTAGCCGTCGTCAGGACTGAGAGAACATCGTCTCATGACTAGAGAAAGTTTGCGCCGTTTGAGCGTCAATCAGTCACGTCTGAGCTGAGTTGAGCAACATGTTTGAAAGTGTGTGTGTGTGTGGTTTCTGCTGTTCCTCATGGTGTCGCCGTAGCACATTTGCTCCACATATTTCCTCATGTTGAGTCCCCATGAGGAAACAAGCTTATAAATCCTACAGAATTCGTTTTTTTGAGAAAGTAAAAATGCAGAAAGTTTCCTGTGATGGGTAGGTTTAGGGGTAGGGTTGTTGTAGGGCAATATAAAATACAGTTTGTACAGTATAAAAACCATTACGCCTATGGAAAGTGTGTATCTGTGTGTGTCTGTGTGAGTGAGTGTGTGTGAGTGTGAGTGTGTATCTGTGTGTGTATGTGTGTATCGGTGTGTGTGAGTGTGAGTGTGTTATCTGTGTGGTTGTGTGTGTGTGTTTGAGTGTGAGTGTGTATCTGTGTGTGTGTGTGTGTGTGTATCTGTGTGTGTGTGTGTGTATCTGTGTGTGTGTGTGTGTGTGTGTGGCTTTTATCCAAAGCGACTTACAAATGAGGACAATAAAAGCAGTCAAAACTAACAAAAGAGCAACAATATATAAGTGAAAATGACAAGTCTCGGTTAGCCTAACGCAGTACACGTAGCAAAGTACACTTTCAAGTCACATGTTACAAAATAGAGAAATGTAAAATGTATATGTATGATATAAAAATAATATTTAAAATATTTTGTGAAGATATTCATAAATAGGCACTCTATATTATTGTGCAGTTTTAAGTGTATGAGCAGAAGCCTGTAGTTTCTGGAGCTCATGAAACACATTGAGCAGGTGCAGATGTTAATTAATTAGCTTAATTAGCTTAACTTAAAATATATATATATATATATATATATATTAGTCATTATGCTAACCAGTGATGTTATTAATAATCTCCTGAATGTGTCAGTTCCCTCACATCATACTGTATGTGCCTTGAGTCGGCTTGAGCTGTGATGTTCTTCTAAATCTCCTCCTGAACCAGCGCCGGATGCTGATGCTCAGCGGTGTCACCAAATGGAGGATTTATTTCATTTGCACTGAACTCTGAGCAGATTTCTATGGATTTATTCAAATTTGATGTGTAAATACAGCAGAGCGGTGGATCTGAATGATGTGAGTGCGTGCGGTTCCTCTCAGCAGGAGAGCGGGTGTGAGCTGAGGTGGATCTTGCACAGATGTTGTTTTGTGGCCATTGTCTGCTGAACAGACTCTGAAGTGACTCTCGGTCCAGTCCACTCTCTCTAGTTCCCTCCGACTGTCTTCCCACAATAATCGGTGGAGGGCTGAACATTAAGGTTTGACTGAGTTTGATCCTCCTGGTCGTAATGATGTTTGCTGCTCTTCCAGTCCTCACTTTCAAGGTGATATTTGCAGGAGGATTATTGATTGCGGCGGTAAGCGAACATATCGACAGCATGTGAAACAACCTTGTCCACTGATGTGGCACTTAAAGAAGTTGTCATTTATTTAGTGCTACTCATTTATTCATGATGGTTTGTAAGTTAGTCGGACATCAAGAAGGCCGCTTTAAGAACGAGTTTGAGTTTCGGCTCACCATGAGC